CAAATTCCAGCCTCTTTAGCAAGAACCACCTCTGGAACTGTGGTCATGTTGATAACATCTGCTCCCCAGGTGCGGAACATGAGGCTTTCTGCCCTGGAGCTAAAGCGCGGTCCCTCGATTGTGATCACTGTCCCCTTTGAGTGGCATCGCAGTCCTAGCTTCTTAGAGGTCTCTATGAGGACCTGGAAGGGGGAGAAGCACAAACTCAACTCATACAGACATGTACAAGGTAAGGCTTATCTTCCTGGGTACTTAATAAGTTAATAATTTCAAGTAGATTTTTCAGTATAGCCTCCTCAGAGGCCCACAAGACCACAATGTTTCCTAGACCCTGGCTCATTAAACAAGACTGCTTCCTCAGCCTTTATACACACAGTCACAGCTCCAAGGGCAAGAACGGACCTTTCTCGATGTGATCCATTATGCTTAATTCCTTTAATTTAAGCTTGCCTGTGAATTCAAAATTTTACCTCAGCTCTTGATCTCTCAGGCTAAGCTAAGGTGCCTCTTGTTATGCGCATCTCAGGGCTGTGCTGAGATACGCATATATCTATATCCCAAGCTACTGAGAAGTTAAGTTCACAGCTTTTATACTAAATCTGCAGACTTACACAGACTTTTTCGTGGTGGGAAATGGTTTTTGCTTTTCCCTGTTGCTGCTCCAAAGCTACACAGTGAAATGAGAATGGGGACTGCGCTAATTTTTTTTTTGGTCCAGGAGAATCTTACCCTGATACTGCTTTGGCAGTGAGGCCATGCATAGGCTTTTAAGAAACATTAAGTGTGATCATTTCACAATGTTTTAATTAATAGTGTAAGTCAATTTGGGGGTTATTAGCTTTTAGTAATCCATGCTTTATCATTTTCTTTTAATTAAAAAAGGAAACAAAACTATGTCTTAGCTGAGTATACTGGTGCATCCCTGTAACGCCAGCTCTCTGCAAAACTGAGGCAAGATTTCAAGCTCAAGCTCAGCATGGCTAACTTATTATTATTATTTATTTTTTTACGGTACTGGGGATTGAACTCAGGACCCTGGGCTTGCCAGACAAGTGCTTATTCTACTCAACTACCTCCCCAGGCCCAAGGCTACCTTATTGACTTACAGAAATCTTGTCTCAAAATAAGAAATAAAAGGGCTGGAGATGTAACTCAGTGCACAGACAGGCCTTGGGTTCCATCTCCAGTACTGTGGGGAAGGGGGTTTTCTCATCTATAAACAGGAATAATATTGTATATCTCAAAGATATCATAAATATGATGAGGATGAAATGAGCTAAGGTGTAGAGTAGGACAGAACTGTGCTGGGAACATTGCAAATACTATATAAATGCTAAACTGGTCCTCTAGCGATTACTAATACTAGTACTGCCTACACACATTTGGCAAAGGTCCCTAGAATAGGAGACATACAGAATGGAATGACTCAAAAGTCAAAACAAGGCTCTAATCCAGGCCAAACGGTACCTGAGTGTGTTAATTATATAAGCAAATGAACTGATTTCCTTACAAATAACTGAGACTATGCCATGGCAATGGGAAAGACATTTTTATTATTATTTTTTAGTAAGGGTCTACAGGGTCTCACTACGTAGATTGGACTCCTAGTGATCTGCCTGTGTTCAGCCTCCCAAAGAGCTGGGATTAAGGGCGCCCACCACCACGCCCAGTCTCAATCACCATCTCAGTGGGCCCCAGGGGCAGGGCCAGCATAGCAGGCCAGGGATCAAACCCTGGCCACTGAGGAAAAACAATTTTAATAAGGGCCTTGTCAATGCCAAATTCAGAACTACAGCAAGCAGTAGACAATGACTGGATACTTAATGTGATGTCATGTTTATCTCCTAAATGCTGAAAATAGGCTAATGTTCAATCAAAACTTTCTCTAAAGGGCACAGGTCATAATGTCAAAGCCTCTATCCCCATCTCCTCCCCCTCTCTGCTTTGTCTAAGATTTCATGCAGGGTCTCTGAAGCATGTGTGTCTTGGCTAACCTGCACGGTACAGCCACGTGCAGCGAGCACCCCCGCTGTGTGGCCGGATGTCTTCTACTCCGCTACGGGCCGTGGCACCGGCCTTGTGTGGAGGAACAGCGGAGGTTTACGGATATGGACCTGTCACATCGACGGCCTCTGGGGGCTTGCCAAGAAAGCCAACCCCCTTGTACTCCCAGAAGAACAGATAAAACAAACTAAAGGGTCAAATGCCCACTCTAATGGTAAGATGAGTTCATTTTCTTGTTTTATGTAATCATAACGGAACTACTGAAACTGCCACAACCCTCACAAGGGGCCAAGCAATACAGCATTAGATCACCAAGCTAATTATAATGCATGAAAAATCAGTCTATCTCTTAAAATGACTGAAAGTGACACCACTCTTAAAATATGCAACTAGTACAAAAGGAGGCTATTTTGAAATACTTCTTTTACCCTGTACTAGAAACCCTCTCCAAGGTAAACCACTGCCATAACTGTTTGTTCAGCTTTCTATAAATACTTTATTTCGATATAAATATTCATATATTCATCTTATAATATATACAGATTTTAAGACAAATGGTAGGCTGTGGTAGAAAGTCTGTGTAACTGCTTGGCACCTGACAATGACATTATGACAATCCTTTATGAATGAATACACAAAAGATTACATTGGTGTTGAAAGAGATAATTGCTAGGTGTTGGAATCATCCACTTTTTACATTAAAATCTCTACTAGAATATATAAGAAAAAAGCAACACACTTAAGGTGTAATTTTCCATTTTCTTCAACTGCCTTCTCCAGCATTCTCTCAGTCTTTACGTGGGGGTTTCTGGCTTGGATAATTCATTATTTAAAAAAAAAAATTCTAAAAATTACAAGGGTGCGCCACCATGCCCAGTTTTGGCAGCAAGTAGGGCATACCCAGGGTGAATTACTTTCAAGAGAGGCTAAATTATATTACTAGAAACTACCATCCCAGTGTCACAGTGACATGCGTTCTATACAGATTGCTAGCCGTAGTTCCTACTCACATCTAGTCCTAGCTCTTTAAGTCATTACTTTTTGTGTACTACCAGACCTTAAGATTTCATACTAACATTTTTTCTTTCTTTTTTTCTTATATTTTTGGGAAGGGTCTATAGGGTGTTTAGGGTCTCACTATTAGATTGGACTCATAGTGATGTGCCTGTTTATAGCCTCCCAAGAGCTGGGATTACAGGCGTGCGCCACCACGCCCAGTCTCAATTGCCATCTCAGTGTGCCCCAGGGACAGGGCCAGCACAGCAGGCCCGGGGAACAAACCCCCAGCCCCTGAGCCTGCTTGCAGGCACTTTAATCCACTGAGCTATTTGGCTGGCCCTACATTTTTTCTTTAGACTGTTTCTTCCCAAGCTGCTGCATATAAAATATACAAAAAAAATTTATTCCCACTTCATTTTGTCTTGGATAGATCTGTGTTTAAAACACAAAACTAGCATCATTCTTGTAACTTCTGTGGGTAACTATCCGGAAACACACTATATACACAGATGCAAACTTCACTCATCACCTGTTCTTTCTTTTCCCACTGGCCTTTTGCGATAGGGTCTCCCTACAGAGTTCAGCCTAGCACTGAACTCATGAAGAGCCTTAGCCTCCCAGGTGCTGGGATTACAGGTGCGCACTACCGTGCTTAGCATCATCTGTACTTTTGGAAAACAGGTAAAAAAAAATGTACTTTAGACATCACAGACAAGCAATGTGCAGTGACACATCTGAAATGTTTACCTCCCCCACCCCAACTTTGGAGTCTATTTCTTTGATACCAGAGTAAAAGTCGGTGTCTTTGTTATAAGCTATTACAGAACTGGTTCCTCAGCATTACGTAGGACATGAAAGCTGAAAGAAATTGTTTACTTCCCATATGTGGATATTAAATTTCCTGAATGACTAATATTCTTATAAGGTAACTTAGAAGAGTTTACTAGGAAGTTTAGATTCTGACAATACTTTTAATCTTTTGGGTTGTACTTGACTTTCAAAGCAGCACACATGGACCAAGCAATTGACCTTTGGGTTGTGGTAGATGCTATTTACTCCCCCAGGAGTTCAGGCCAAGATGCCTGGGTTTATTTGGTGTCATTACTGGCCCTTGTGCAGCTGCCACTGCAGTTCTGATACAATGCTGGTGAAAATGCTGGGTGGCAGTGGACGTACTCAGCTCAAAGCAAAAGACACCAATCTGACATTTAGATTATCAATAATAATTTACTTCATGAAGACAGTTACCAGACATTCTATGTTCTGTGACTGACAGGTGTGATTCCTGGCATAGGCCTAGGAGGTGAATGCTACCATTACTTTTGTTTTACCAGTGAGGTAGGTGAAGTGCAGAGATGCTAACTGATTTGCTCATTTATACCCAGTTATGAAGCTGCAGAGAACAGCATCAATCACAAGTAATCTGGCTCCAGAACATCCACTCTTCACTAATATGCTACCCAACACCAAAGTATTTGAAAGGGACTCTCACAGCAAAATCAAAACTTACTAAAAAAAGGTAGGTTGCAACTTTGAAGCATTATTGGCTAAGGGAAACAACTGTTCATAAAACTATGCATGAGGAAGTAAACCTGGGGTGGAAGACTGCTTGCTCTGCCGAGTGACCTAACTGCAGTGTCCTGCCAAGCCCGTATGATCTGGAGTACCTTTCAGAAAGACCACAAACCTCTCTTGTTTTGGGACAAAATGGCTCTGCCACTGGAATGTGGCACACTCCTCTGGCACAGGAATGACTTCCATCATAGAAGGTCTGAGGCCTCTTGGTGGTCCTACAGAAAAATAAAGTGAAAGACTTTTACTTAAAAAGAAAAAAAAAAAAAAATCCCAGCTACATATCTATCTTCCAAGGCAGGTGAACCAACTATATCTAGGTTAGCATCTTGGTCTTCACTCCAGAATTAATAGCTCTGAATAAGATCAAGGCAATTGTTAATAAAGCAGCTTCACATGGTATCCGGCTCTTCTGGATGGAGGCTGGTGGCAGCGTGTTATGCAACAGAAACTGAAGTGTGAGCACTTGGGATGGTGGGTGCGACCTGACCATGACTTCCAGGAGGCCAGATAGCACTTGAGAAGTCAATATGAAGATCTGATCATCACAGCTATAGGTCACAGCGTAAACACCACTTATCTACTGCTCAGATTTACCAGTTTCCAAAATTTTATCTTGCTTCCTCAGTTTCCTCATGGTTGCAAACATTTCCAGGCTACTGACCCACCAAGGAAAGCAGCGATGTGTTCTGTCCCATTAGAGAATCTGCCTGTCACATGGCTTGTTCCTCTATCAGTTGAAATTAATTCTCATGTTCAAGCCTTTGGGCAAACATTTTTGAATTGGAAAAAAAAGCAGCTAAAATTAACCCAGTGCCAGAAATTTCTCATCAGAAGTTCCCAGAACAAAGTACTTTTTATGGCTATATGTTTCTGTAAGTTAGAACTCAAGAGTAATTAAGGAAAGTCTCTAACTGCCCCACAGATGCAAGGGGTAGGGAAGGATGGGACAAAGAAAAACCAACAAGAGAAGATACATAATCTGATGTCTTCTCAGGCTGACAGCGTGAGGGACAGTATCACGTCATTTTATGGGTCCTCTTACGCAGCTGATACACCTGTTAACCAAAATTAACCTGTCACTTTCAGGCACCAAAGCTACCTCACCTGGAGATGAGGTATCAGTGCTCTGGAAGAACAAGAAGCTGCTCCTGCTTCTCCCAACTCTTGTCACATTTGTCTCAAGGAAAAGGCCAAATTAACCCCCAAGGAAAACTAGATGGGGTACAGAAAAGATTAATTCGCCCCAGCTTGCGTCAGCAGAGGTTTCCTCCAGCAGGCTGGCCAATGTCCAGGTATGTGGCTGTTAGACAACTGCTTAACTTTTTGATTTTTCCAGTTAGGAGGTTTGTGAACCAAAAAGTCCAGATAACCCAGACCAGCAGCAAGATGCGGGCTAGAGACAAAGTGGGAGTCAGCGCCAGGCTGAGCGTTCAGAGTACGCAAGCCTAAACAGAAAGAAGTGAGGGCTTCACAATCAGTGTCTGTACTGTTTCAGGGCCACTCTGTCAGGGTTCTGGAAGGGAAGGGCAGATAAGACATCCATCGTCACAGTCTAGCCATCTGTGAAGCTTCACGTCATTAAGTGTCAATACATCTAGCGCACTGTTTCCTGATTGAAATTTAAAGCCCTTAAGGGGCAACAGAAAAATAAGACACTGTTAATGATGAATGAAATTATGACCAAGAACAATGCACTTCTAGCCAAGCTGAGTATAGAGTAGACAACACCCTGAAAAGAAATTCTGAAAGAAAAAGTATCGGTCTTCTTCTGGGAGACTTGATCAGAGAAACCAAGGCATTTGGTCAGAAGCTAGAACAGCCAGCCAGACACGTTCATGAGCAGGCGCTGTCAGCTAAGCCTGCAGGCGCGTTTCCAGCTGCCAGCCAAACAGCTCTGCTACATTTCCCATTACAGTTCAACCTCATGCAGTTTTCTGAGTGACGCAAGGAAAAACAAAAGAAGTGTAATTTTGTTCAGATTTGAATCTTATCTTGAGTGCATTTGGGCAAACTACTAGTCTTCTCAAATTTTTCATCTATAAGGCATGAATAACACGCTTATTGCTCTGATCTGAAGGTCTGTAATGCCCAAAGGAACACCGTGGCTTCCAGTTGAGTGGAATTACTGTGCTTCCTGGCAGAAGGCTTCCCTCCTCTGGTTAGTGACTTGTAGGCTAAAAGAGCTTCAGGTTACAAGAACAGAGGTTTGCTAGGGAGCACTAGGAGTAATGCTGAGTGGTATCATTTCTATTTCTACCCTTAGTTCTTAGACCTGTGAATCCTGGGTATACCAGGGATTGAACTCAGGACCCTGAGCTTGCCAGGCAGGTGTTTATTCTACTGAATTATCTCCCTGGCCCAAGAACCATATATTGAACTCTGTATCAGTCACCTTTTGCTGTCAGGAAAAAAAAAAAAAAAACCCAAAAAAACCAAACACACAAATTAAAGAGGTTTATTTTGGCTCACGGAGTTAGTAGCTTTAGTCTATGATGGGAAAGCTCAAAGGCACAAACTCCAGGGTACAGAGAAGCTGCCTACCTCGTGGTGGCTAGGAAGCAGAGAAGAGGGAGCAGGAGGGGACGGGAGCACAGCTCAGCAGGTCTCTGCTGGTGACACAGCCAGCCAGCCCCACCTCCTAACAGCACATTCAGCTACTGGACTCATCAACAGATGCATCCTCTGATGAGTACAGAGCGGCTACAGTCCAATCACCTTTGAAACACATTAGGTTTTGGGGAAACACTTTAGATCTAAACTGTAACATTTTGTCCCTGGTCCCCAAAAGACTATTATCCATCTCATTATGTAAACTGCATTTAGCTTGTCTCTAAGAGGTGCCAGTGTCTTAACAGTTCCAGCACTGCAGAAAAGTGCAACGAGACTCCAGAAGTCCCTGTAAAAATCAAAAAGAAAGTTAAACCACCAACATACAATGGCACAGGGTACACATTCTCATGCCCAAATGGAAAAATAGAAAGAAAGTGCAAGCTTGAACTCAAGAATGAAAATCAGAGCTGTAATGCCTGTGCTTGGGAGGCCAAGGCAGGAGGATCATTGTGAGTTTAAGACTGGGCTGCAAGTGAACTCAAGGCCAGCCTGAACTACATAGGGAGACTCTGTGTCAAAGACACATAGAAAGAATAAAAGTCAGCAGAGCAAATATTAAATCCTATACCTCCATGTCCAGCACTTCAGCTAGCCTACAGCAAGATGTGAGCTCTGAAGGGCTTGGGCAGCCCTACTCCACAACCGTGCTTGTTGCCATTCACACGATCTCTTTGGACTGACTGCTCACTGCTTGTGACTTTCCTGAGCAGGTAACTCTTCCTGGGATCTCTGAATTCCTGAGGTCTATACTGCGTTTTCAGCTGCATGCACTGCCCTCAGAGGCACAGTGCTGGCCTCCCAGGCCACGCTTTGAAATCTGGGTAGAAACCTTTACACCCACAACTTCTGCATTATGCATGCCTTAAAGTGAGCAAGCCCCACACAGATGGCACCACTGGGTCTGCCACCAGCCCAAGCAGTGGCCGGGTTCCCGAGCACAGAGAGAGGCATCTGAGTGCCTGGATGGCTGAGCACAGTGCAATGAAGCAGGGAGCCAATTTCCCAGGGGATCTTTCTGGGCAGGTGTAATGGAAGGTTTATAGGTCTGCACCCTTGAACGTGTGACAGGTATTTGCCCATCACAAACTATTTGGTTTATTTTAATGATAATTTTTTTGAGAAATCATCTCCTCATCTGCACTGACTTGCAGTCAATTCCTTTCTGGCAAAACTGGAAACTTTTTATATCTCTGGCTTTGTCTTGTTTGTGACTCTCATTGTCAATCTGCCTAAAAGCAGCCAGCAGTACTCATGTCACAGGCTGTACATTAGCCTTGAGACGTTCTCCAGCAAATTAATTGGCATACCAACCTTACTTTCAGTCTCTTGCACTGTCTCAGGACATGGGCAAACTAGAAAGATTTTCAGCCAAAGTGTAACACATAGGAAATGTAGTCCAGTTTCTAAGAGCACTCATTTGTACCTGAAACCTCCTGAGGTTCGACTTTACTGTCTGTATTCTTACTAGAATTCTAGGCCAGCCACAATGTCTCATTAATCCTTGCTTATAGCATTCTAAGGTGTCTCTACCCAGCATTTCCAAACCTTTCCAAATTCCTCTCACAAAACAGTACCAAAGGCTTCTTAATCATATGAACAGGCACAATCATAGTAAGAGGCGCACTGCCAGTACCAACTTTCTGTATCAGTCACTTTCTTGTAGCTGAAACAAATATCCAATAACTACAACTTAGGGCCAGGGAGATAGCTCAGTGGACTAAGTGCCCGCTTAGGCAAGCGCAGGGACCAGGGATCCATCCCCGGCACCACACACCACACGTCACTCTGGCCCCGCCCCTAGGTGTGCTAACCTGGAGACCAAGTCTGGGCATGGTGACACACACCTGTAATCCCAGCGCTGGGGGGGGCTGAAAATAGGAGGATCACTGAGTCTGAGCTGTGTAGACTCAGAGTGAGACTCTGCACTAAATACATTAAGAAATAAAACAAAAACCTTCCAGTTACAAAAAAAAAATTTCAAATAACCACAACTCGAGAAGAGGTTTATTTTGGCTCACAGGTTCAATGGGTTCATTCCACGGTCAGCAGGTTCCAATGTAGAAGCCTTGATAGAAGGGCCTCGTGGAAAGATGCTACCCACTTTATGGCGGCAAGAAAGCAGAGACAGAGAGAAAGAAAGACCTAGCCAGGGACAAGACCCCTTCCGGTGACTACTCCAGGGACATAATCAGGTTCTGCCTCCTAATAGCACAGCTAGTGAACTCATCAGTGATTACGGACATGGAAAGCAAATGTATATGCATAGTAAGTGTATCTTCCTGCACAAACTGCTGCCCTTTCCATGATGAAAGTGTTGCCATACAGCGGACTTGCTGCCAGGTTTTAGGCTTATAAACCCAGAGAATGGGGCCAGGAAGATAGCTCAGCAGCACAGCTGCTGCCTGGCAAGGGCAAGGTCCTGAGTTCAATTTCCAGCACAAACAAAAACAAAAAAACAACAACAAAAATACAACCCAAAGAAAGATGCCATACTGAGGATGAAGTGCTGGTCTTTTGCTCCTGGCAGATCGAACACTGAGCACAGGCTGTAGCCATGTCGGCCTTGGTGTGTGCAAGTCCATACTGCTCAGCTCCGGTACGGAGC